TATGAGGGCCAGTGACACTGCCCTCTACAGCTAAGATGCTGAACAACAGCTCAACCTGGAGCTGGGCTGCTGTGAGTCGCCTGTGACAGAGTAGGCTGCAGCCCCTGTGGCAGTGGGTTGCCATGGGCTACCGTGTATAGCCAGCAGTCAGTGTGAGCGGCCAGCAGCCGCAGTGAGCGGCCGTCTAGAAGCCGGCGACTAATCTGCCTCGCCCGGGAAGAGAGCAATGATGGTGCTAACTTGGGCCAGTGAAGAACCGTCCTCCACAACTAGACTGAAGAACAACAACAAAAAAAGGACAGCAACTTGTCTGTTCCCCTTCCCCCAATTCCCCAGTGCTGTTCCCATCCCCCAGTTCCCCAATAAAAATCTTAAAAAAAAAAAAAATTCTTAAATCACAGCAGAAAATGCAAAGCATGATTCAATTCAGCATTTAATGGATATGTGCTTGATAGTGTTAATATGGAAAAAAGCCTCTTAAGAAAGAGCATATATTGTATACAAAAATATACGTACTTTCATATTAACAAAGTTCATTTTCTAGAGCTGAATAACGACGACAAAACCCAGTCCCAAAACTTGGGCCAAATCCAATGAGTTTGAAGGGTTGTGCTATCTTTGACATTCTTTAGAAAAAGTGTAACACCCAACACTGCTTTTATCCACCTCTCATTCCAGTGGGCTGCCAAGCTTGACACAGATGGGCCACCAAACTCAGAATTCCTAGAGGATAAGGTGTTAAGACACCATATGGCCTGAGAGTAGGAGACAGAAAAAAGAGACAGCCTACCTCCAGTTTGCACGAGGCACAGCAGTGTTTACTAGATGCCCTGGATCCTGGCAACAGCCTTGCCCCTCTACCAGCCCCTTACTTGAACTAGCATGAACAGAATTTTGTTCTTACAACCAGTTGATTCGTGATTAAGACAGTGACTGGCAAATTATAAATAGTTTCATGTATCAGTATCACAAGAACTACAACAGCAACATACAAATGTATGTGTGTGTGTGTGTGTGTGTGTGTGTGTGTATACATATATAATATATACACAAGAATCTAATATCTCAGAAGTTATTTTATTCAAATTGAAAATTACACCTTCTACTATTATCATTCTAGGTCATGTAGAAATTGAAACTTCTAGTTAGAGAAAACATATAGAAGTGGCTTATCTTTTCTTTAGGTATGATACATGTTTCGCAAAGAGAATCATAATTTTCACTGTAGAAAATCCAATAAAGCAGTGGTGTATTGAAATATTTTATTTAATTCAATACATGTTTACAGAGCTCATATTATGTCCAAGGTCCTGAGTTAGACATCATGTGGAATACAAATATTGATGATACACATGGCTCCGTCTCTCAAAAAGGTTCTAGTCTAGTGTGGTTAAGTTAGTGACACAAATGTGATTTAACTGAAAAATGTTAAAACTGAACAGGGTATTATCTAGGATGATAATGATATACCCTATAGAGTTTCAAGACTTATACAAGCATAAAGAAAAAAAAAAAGCCCATATTGTAAATCGTAAGCCACTAGGGGATTAATGATCATAAGAGCATAAAAAACAGAATAATAAAAATAAACAGAAATAAAAATAAAAATGCAACAGGAAGAGGGACGGTATGCTCACAAGTCCTGCTTGTCTCTACAGCCAAAGTCCTATTCTCATAGTTCCACAGCGACAAGGTACAGCTAAGGAAAGGTTTCTTGGGTGACATTTAGTCCAAATCTTGAAGATTAAGTAAGAGTTTGCTAAAAGGCTATAAAGGTTATACCATGTAGAGGTGTGAAACTGAATGGGAACAGCAGAGAGTCATGTATTGTTAGATGATATGATTGGGGTTAGGGAACTGCAAACAGAGTAAATAAGTGAGGCTGGAGCCAGAGTGATAAACAAATGAGAGACTAAATTTAGGCACCTTGTCTTCATGCTTGCTACCTATATATATATATAAACATAGGAAACAATATTGAATCAGTCTTTCAATTTCACAAAACAAAGCAAAATAAAAGCAGCTACCATTTATTGAATGCCTGTAAGCATTATGGTCTAGAAGTTACAGCAGTAGCTATGGAGCCAGGAATTGACCACTTACTGTCTACCTTAGGGAAGTGGCTTCACTTCACTTTCCTCACCTGTAAAATGGGGGTAATAGTAGCTACCTGAGATGGTTGTTGTAAAGATTAGATAATTACTACACACAAAGAACTTAGTATCGTGCATGGAGTAAGCATTCATTATTAACTGCTGTTAATTCTTCCACTGTATGACCCACAGTACTAGGCACTTTACATGTCACCACTAACCACCCGAGAAACCTTTCAAAATAAATGTTATTGGGGGGAGGGGGGTTGTTACTTTGTGAGGGTGAAAAGGGTAACTATTGCATTGTTCTGTACACCTGAAACTAACAATAAAAAATAAATAAATAAATAAATAAATAAAANAATGTAAATATCTTTTTGTTTTCCGATGGTCTTAGGCGACCCCTGTGAAAGGGTCGTTCGACCCCCAAAGGGGTTGCGCCCCACAGGTTGAGAACCGCTGGCCTAGGTAAACTGGCTAATAGACGGTTTATAACTATTCCTGTTAATAATGTTCCTAGCAACAACATTAAGAAGTAGAAATTATTATTGTTATATTACAGATAAGGAAACTAAGGCTAATGTGGAGAATGTGCCCAAGAGTACATAATTTATAATGAGTGAACATGTTTGTATGATTTTAAAACCCACATTCTTAACTACCGGGTTATATATAAAGAGGCTCTATACAAACAAGCACTTTGAAATCAGTAGGCTTCAATGGATAACAATATAGAACAAAGGGCCACATTACCTAAAAACTGTAGCACACTGCTGAAACCACTGTAAATCCAGTCAAATATGAAGGACATATCCAAATCTTATAGGGTCTGAAAAAAAAGTGTTTTGAATTTAGTTGTCAACATTAAACACCAATATACATTCAATGCCAACATTAAATGCCAACTCTGAGTAAATAATCCTACAACCACCACCTGCTACAAAGAATTAAACACTTATCTAGGCTGGTCTAACTTAATCTATATTGATGCATAAAAAACAAAACGCCATTAAAATACAAAGTAGAGACCATTCTTTGCCCATCAAAGTAACCAACATGAAAAAAAGAATTATAACAGCCAGGATTAGAAAACATATAGTAAAAGTGGCAGTATAAATTGGTGCAAGTCTTTTTCAAAACAAGTTTGGCAATAATATATCTGTTGATACCATCTGACCCAAGAATTCTACTTTTGAAATTGTCCTAAAAATGGAAAAGCTTTATATATAAAGATGTGCATTAAAGCGTTATGTAAGAAATATTCTGGAAATAATCCATGTTCAACAGTAAATTAAATCAAGTATAGTATATATGGCCTATGGAATATTTACCAAAACAGTGGAGTGGGGAGGAAGAGCAAGGGAGAAGAGGAGAAGAAAGTTTACGAATAACAAAATACGTTTCCAAGTCTGATTATACCTCTATGGAGTAAAAACCCTTTTTCTATTTCCTTTGGTCTTTTGTAGCAGTTGGTACCAGGTGGTAAATTTCTGGGTTTGTTTTATCTTTCTGCATTTTTCTAATTTTAATCAATTACTGAATGTTAAAAAAAAAATTCTTGGGCCGGCTGAGTGGCGCGATGGTTAAGAGCTGGCTTGGGACGCCAGAGGGCCCCGGTTCGGATCCCACATATGAGGGCCAGTGACACTGCCCTCTACA